ATCGCAATTTTCACTCATGTTCTCATGGAATACTCAATGGGATGAATAGACGCCTTGGTCGGCTTTGTGGTTTTGTTTGAATGCTGACAGGCGGAACATTCTTTGATTGCCGCCTCCATGCTAGAGGTACAACCTCGGCCATCAAAATTATTCGCGAATACATGCTTTCGTCCTTACTATGTCGGGATGTCCCTCATGACCAGTAGTTATTAAATCTTTAATAAGAGATTACGGTATGACGAATTGAAGGCCTCTTAGAACGCAGTTATCAACTGTTGACAATTTATGTTACATAACAGAAAATGGCGATAGTTTAGGCTGGGGGTCGCTTTTACTGGACCACGAGGTCGACATATTTGCGTGTACTTTCGTAAGAATCAATTCGTCCTCTGTACTACGTTGTAAACTTCCAGAGGTATGGATACCGGATGAACATCATTTAGAACTGCAATCCTTTTCACCTCTTCGAAATCCTGATTTTCACCTTCATTTTTCTGTGAGCAAACGCTAAAGTGCGCCGTCCAACTGATTTTGCGGTCTCTAGATGAAGCGAACGTCAAAATCGTAATTTAGTAAACATGTCTAACACCATGAGGGTTTTTGACCATTGGTTTCACTGCATAGAAGTGTCATAAGAAGTGCATGGTCAATGTGCAAAACAAACCGTCGTTCGAAAAGATAGATGTACCATTTTTTACAAAACCAAACATATGCAAGGACTACTTTTTCAACTGTGGAGTAGTTTCTTTCGGTGGATGACAATGTCCGAGATGCATACGCAGCTACCTTCTACTCCCAGTTCGCCACATGTGATAAAACGGTAACCAAAGTGACATCAGAGGCATCTATTTGTACAAAAATAGGGCGGCATTCTTCAAAAATAGATAGCGTGACAATAGACGCAACCATCGTACGGATCAAAGAGTAAGTCTTTTCTTGTTCTAGACCTCAAATAAAGTGCTCGATTTGTGGGCTTATTCTACGTAGAGCTTTAGAAGTGATGGCAAAATTTTTAGAAATCCTCAAGTTACACGAAAAAATGACCGGAGCTAAGTTTAACTAGTTCCACTGTTTGTTGCTTGGGACACTCTAGAATAACACGTGTATTCTCTTCACTAGGTTTTACACCGGTAGTCGAAAATCACATGGTTGAGAAATTAGACTTTCCCTATGATAAACTGACGTTTTCGAGGATAAAGCCCTAAAACTAGGTTATTTAATCCGTGAAGTCCTGAATGTAAATTGGAATCATGGCCTCCAGAAGATTTTTCAAAGACGCAAATGTCTTTTAAATTGGCTACTGGTGAGACACACTGGGAGTACCTTGCACTCTTACAGACCGTCTGGTGCATGGAATGCCGTCAGAGATCTAGAATCGAAAATCAAGTGCATGTGAATATAGGCACTTTTGAAAATGTCTTTGCTTCAGATAGCTTGCCACTTAGCTCGCTTGCAATTAATCTTACGATTTTACTGTCAAGCATACGTAAGTTATCACATATACGACTTGTTCTGTCCTTTGTAGAACTTATAGTAACGGACGCACTCACTCCAAACAATAAATCTGCTCGAGCAGATCCTCTCGAATTATTTATTGGTGAGCATTAGAAACAGCTTGTTGCTTATACAGTGACATCGGTCGTGGATGTAACATGCTAAATGGAACGATGTTGGCTTTTGACTATATTCGATGCAATTCCTTAGGAATTTATTCACTAGTGTCATGAGATAAATTCGGATAAAGCGACTTGACAAAATCTGTCCGAGCATTAGCTACTACCATTTCATCGAGATAGGATGTAACTCACAAAGAAGTTATTCTGTTCCGTCTTAACGACGGTTTGTCAACACTGTTCGAAATGTAGACGTGCCCTTGGAACTACCGTTTGGGAAAAACGTTATTTTCCTGTAACCCAGGACAAGCACAGTGTTATTCGAATAGCTTCCAAACGTACAAAATGAAGGATGAACATGTGAAAATTCGAACTTGGGCTGATAAAATTCATATGGGAAGTGCTGAGTCTAATTCGATTTGAAGCGATAATATTTGGTAAAGTTGTTCACAGAAAACTACACGAATATCAGGAAGAAGTAGTTGTGATTCGATTAAAGAACTAATGGCAGGAGGCTGATACCCCAACACTGAACAAACAGTTTCTAAATCTGAATTATTTAATAAAATTACATCAGATCGTGTGCTGTTAATGTTTACAGCATTACGTGAACGACGAACTAGCAAAATGGAAAGAATTACTGCATCAACAGCAAGTGATAGAGAATGCTATAGACATTTTACAGCTAGCTCGATGCTTTTGGCTACTACATCGGTGACAAATTCCGCGACGGAACGTCAGTAGAGAATCAGTGGATGATGAAAACTTTATTTAAGCGATATACATATGCGGTGTATTGGAGGCATACTATTTAGTCTACTCCTGAATATCGACCTTCACCCAAACACGATCTTTTGCACGATCCCAGGACAATTTAATGGAGTAATCCAAGATCGATAAGTCTCGAATCCAATCTTTGGGAATTTAGCTGCCGGATTAGAAGGACCTGTTGAATTTCCCCCCAGATAACCGAAATTTAACCGCATTGACACACAGTACAGACCAGTGGTGAAATAAAATTATTCAACCTTTCTTGGGGTTCCTGTAGTAGTTACGAAGAGTTCAACCTTATTGTGTATGTATTAACTCGCAGCCTCCAGTATATATCCAAAATCAAAAAGGCCTCCTTCACACGTCTTCAAATTCGGTACACCATACAATCTTCGTTCTTCCAGTCCGCACAATTCCCATCTTATGATCCTAGAATAATCTGAACGTAAGTTTTAAGACCTGCCTCATCTCAGCTTAATCTATGAATGTAGTCTACCAGGAAGTCTAAACCTTAGCGGATGACTGCCCAGTAGGATCAGTCCAGGAGTGGTAGGAAACTTACGATAGATCCGATGTTATGCGGGCTGGTACTTAGCGGAGCCCAAAGTTACATCTTTAGTACAAGAAGCAGTCAACACAGTGTAGCCGTATTAGTGTGGCAAACACAGTGTAGCAATGCAAGACATATACACGAATGAAATCAGAGAAAGAAAGCTAGGGCTAGTGAACATAAGGCAACGGTGTAGTCACATGATTCAAACATGACATGGTTGACGTCATTCGTTTGGGATTAACTTACCACACTGACCGAAGCCAAAGGGAGCATGTAACACTAACCACAAGCGGCTTGTTCTGCCCCCGTTGTGATTCTACTCACACAACACGTATCTAAATTACACTCAAAGAAATGAGACCAGGGGGGAGTGTGAGTGGAGGTCATTGTTGTCCAATCCGACTGCGCTAGTTAGTCACCTGGTAGGCAGTATGGAAGTGAAGACCCTATATCTCGGAAAAAAGACTAGAGAGACTTCAGTGGCAAGATCTAGGTTTGGAAGAAAAATACTGAAAATATGAGGCAAGAAGTAGTTCGCTGTAGGAGTAAATATTATTGCATTCTAGATAGGACGAGGAAGGAAAATCGACATTTCAAGTTGAACCACAAACCAACAAGACGTTCATCATACAGACACCAACAAGGGTGAAGAAGAGAACGAGTATATGACCATCATGGCCCAGGTTTCAGCAAAGGTCAGCAGATGACTTATTAAACAAACCGGGCGTTGATTGATTCGAACGGAACGTATAAAAATATCAGACTGACAAATATTACTTGTACCTAAGGTAACTACCGTCTCTTCGTTGCTTGCATGTCATGAATGCGTTGTAATCCAACAACCTGAGACGGCCAGCGTATTTGCTGCCGCGTACATCGCAACACCATATAATCATCATGTTTCTCAAAATGTGGACCGAAAAACCTGTCTTGCATAGAATTTCGCGGTGATAAGGATACAGGTCAGCAAAATCTATATCAACGTAGACAGGCAACTTAATGTTGAGTAGATCGTTGATAGCGGTAACATCCGTGTTCTAGTAAAGTTCTCTCCACATTGTATAAAATCGAGATGTCCGAAACATAGAATCAAACGTCCGACTGCTTTGAAACATTTTGCTTGGAACAAGTGTCATCCAGAACATAATTTAGGCGAACAGTAAATATCTGTGCATAACTGAAGTTGAAGGTCTTCGGTCAGAAGATCAGGAAAAATGACCGAAGAACAATGTGACTAAACGGAGAGTACGCATCTATTCAAAGAACTAATGATAAGATAATACTGGTTTAAAAATGACTTCAGCAGTTAAACATAAAAAGCAAGTCTTCTCACTTTGATAAAACATTGTCAAATTGGACCTAGGAAAAAATCGGTTTTCAGTTTTTATTTGGGATCAGGCATCAAAAAGCTGTCGGTTAGTTGTTAATTTAGGAACTGATAATGAGATATTAATACATCAGTCGATCAGTAATGAAGCAGCAATCAGTGTTGACAGATAAAAAACGTGTTAGATCAACACAACCTATTCGGTACGGAAGAAGGTACTTCCGAATGTTGGACGCTAATGACAATTTGAAACACTAGGTTCCCTTCAACAAACTCACCATTGCAAAATGATGAAATATGTTACGACAGATTAACATTTTGTCTATTCTCACCGATCACAAACGTAAAACGTGCGGGTTATGTAAAATAGACACACAGGCAGACAGGGTGTGGATAGGCATGCGTTCACACCAAGTATTATGTTATCAAAACCATATGTTCACGACTGATGAAAATAAACGGAATACTAACGCATCACGACAAATGTTTTCTTTTTGTGCCGACTAAACTAGAGGAAACATCATTTGCATACTTTAAAAAGGTATTCTTAAGGACACACATGGGACTTAGTTAAAGGAAAATGGAGGGGAATTACCCCATACAGAACATCCAACGTGGTGATCGACCGGAAAACTACTTAATTAAATAAGTGAATAATACCTGAGCGACTTAAAATATATTAATGACTAGTTTGGCAGATCTATGATTTTAGGTGAGACCCAATTGTGAACAGTTAGAACTTCGGCTGGATTTAAACCAGCGTCAAAAACACCGTGCCTCAACGCGGCAAGCACTCTACCAGCTGACCTACGAAGCCACGCCAGGAGCTGAGAAATTTTACATTTGGACTCGGTTACCCACCCGTCTCAAAGTATCATGTGGAATCCACCAAATGCTCCAGGGATCGACTGTCCCGGCAGGAATGTGAAATTTCCGAGCTCCTGGTGTGACTTCGTAGCTCGGCTGGTAAAGCGCTTGCCACGTTGAGGCATGATGTTTCTGTCGCCGGTTCAAATCCAGCCGAAGTCCTAATTGTTCATAATTGGGTCTCATCTAACATTCAGAATATCACCACCTAACTACGTTGGGATTGTCATATTCTTTGATAATTCAAAATAAAACTTCTCAATTGATGCAACTGAAAGCATTGCTATGATCGAAGAGACAGGAACGGACTGCCCCAGACCATATGGTCCGAATAAGCTTCTGTGTCAGAAGTGAAAAGTCACCGATAAAACAAATTACCCATTATTCACACTTTTTCTGAAATTATGAATACTCAGCCGGTGTCAAGCATATTCTAATTAACAACGTATTATAACTTATTGTCACCTAGTTGAACTTATGAACGAATCTTAATTGTGGTGCGCCAGCTCCATCTTGTCTTTTGTTGAACACTATCACGTGGTTGCTCCATCGACTTGTAGGTAAACCTATCGATCCGTATCGAATACACTATTTGATTAAGTGTTTGTCGTGACCAGCCAACCATTAACAAGCTTCACATCGAACAGAACAACTCCACTACATTTTCACACCATCAAAGGTTCATGAATTTCCCCCTGTTCTGAATCATACCAAAGTGCACAACCAAAAGTCAAAGTGGAGGCCTACCGCACGTGATTTTAGCTCGGCTTTGCGAGGCAGATCGGACCACAAACCATATTGATTTTCCCGGTACAATCCAAATTTCGATACGTACGCCTGCAGTTGACATCCTCCAACATATTTAACTCATTGCAGATATCGCTTGCAACAGATAATGACGGGTAACAGAGTATTCCCTTCGCACAATTGTCGTTAACGTTCGTGAACGACCTGATCAATACCATGTTTTAATCAGTCATGGTGTCTTACGGCTTTCTTTGAAGGAGGAAAACGTTCAAACAAAATGTGACATCAGAAATTGTAGAAAAACTCTTATTAGGACATGGATAGACATCAATTATACTGTCTTCGTTGCAGCGTCCTTTGATTTTTTATTATGAATATGAATACCATTAATGTTATCATTGACACTAGTATTACGCAGTAAATGATAGGATTTCTAAGCTTGTCTCACATCAGGTTGCACAAGGCTAGTAAGGGACAGATACGCACAAAACACTACTCAGTCCACCGGCTTAAAACACCCCTAGAGTAAATCGAATAAATACACATTTTAACAGGCAGTCAACCATCATGTATTTTAGGATTAAAAGTTATAACTAGCAAATGATGATTTTCACCATATATTCAAATTTTGTCTAGTACGATTAGAGCTAAGTGGCTGAATATTTTACGATACATGGGATGCACAGAATATCGATTAATGTGGACTGATTACGGAGTTTGATTAGTGTCCTTCCAAAATAAATGTACAGCTACAAGTGTAGCGAAACATCGTTCAATAAAGCCCAATCTTTATTGTCCAACACGCTAGTTCACATGCTACGCGCGCGCTCGCGTTTATGAATCAGAATTCTAGTCCACAACACCCCGAGGTTTCCGCCTCCCCCGCCCTGGCCCCTT